CTAAAAATAGATCACCTCAAATTTAAAGCTAGTTTTTTGTTTATTTTGATTTTTTAATTTATTCAAAAAAATTTTTTTAGTCTCAGAGCCCCATTTTCCTAGCAAACCTCCCATATAATTAGTTAATTAATATAAAAAGAAAAATACAAAATTATAGAAAATATATTTTATTTTTAAAAAAATAAATATATGAAATATAAATGTGAATATTGTTTCTCTAGGCCTTTACAATATGAATGATATTTTCTTTGGCTTCTGTTATATAATAATGTTTACTATTACTTCTACTATATGAATAATATCTCTTTAAACTTCTGTTATATGAATAATATTTCTATTATAATAATTTTATATTAATGTCAAACTTATGCAAACTTCTATAAGCTTATCAAAATAATCTAAAAAAATAAATAAATGATATAAATATACAGTATTAAAAAAATAATTATAATTAAGCAATTATATAGGAGGTTTGCTAGGAAAATAGGGTTTTGAGCATTTTATATTAAAATTTTAATTTTTATTACATTTTAATTTTGATAATGTTAGATTAAAATGCAATAAAAATTAAAATTTTAATAAAAAATACTTAAAGTTCCATTTTCCTAGCAAACCTCCTATATGTTTAAATGCAAAATTTATCAAACATTTTATTATAGAATATCTGTTTATATGAATTAGAATTTCTATGACATATATATTCTGATTTTTTTGTAATAATTATATAGCATTATTTAAAAATGCTTTTCTAGACTATTATTAAAAAATTTGAGTTTTAAGATAATTAAGATTAAATTATTTGTTTATAATAAATATCTTTACTTAAACTTCTAATAGGTTTTCTTAAACTCAATTAAGTTTAATTAAATTGCAGATTTAAAAAAGTCATTCTAAAGGCTTTAAAAGTTTCTAAATTTTTAAGCAATATATTAAAATAGGTTTCAAATAACATTATTAGCTTTTACTTAAGAGCGTATCATTTGTCTTAAAATTATGATATTTATTCATAAAGTATTATTATTCTTGGTATTTTCAACATTTGATGTTATTATCAATGTTCATAAATTTAATAAAAAAAAAATACCAAAATGACTTATCAAGAAAATTGAACTAAAAAAATGACAAAACTGTTGTATTAAATATTTCTATCAAATTATACATATTTGAAAATAATCAAAATAATTGATACTTAATTAGATTAAAATTTTTTAATTACGATTATATAACAAATTAAAAAAGGTAAAATCACTTGGCAGTATAATAATTATGTTAGCAGGCAAATTTGCCTGCTTATTTACTATAAATTCTCTTCTATAGCTATAAAGATATATTAATTTAAAAATCCAAAGGCAAGATAATATTTTTAAAATAAAAGATTTTATTATTTTTATTATTTTTTATTATAATATAGAATGAAAAATGATCCGTGTAATTTTATCCAATCAGAATTATTACATGTTCAAGTACTAAAATCGATCGTGCATAATTCAGGACGCGTCAACTGTCAACCGCGTAAATTTTTTTTTTTCTTTGTTAAAATTTAAATAAAAAATCATGGCCGATTTTTTTATCTTAAATGAAGAAATTTTAAAGTTGCAAGATTCTTGTTATTTCTTTCCGAACGAAGTATCAATAAACGACTTAGATGAGATAGAAATTGATAAGTTATTGAATGGTAAAATATTTTTTTTACTACGAAATTGTTAAAAACGCTACTTTAAAGTATACGATTTATAGAATTATATTTAATTTAAGATGCTGTTGATATAATAAGCGAAAATCCATTTGCAATAACTAATGAAGAATTATTTGATACTATGCGTAGTTTCGTAAAGTAATTTCTTTTCATTATCTATTTTAAGCTATTTTTTTTTCGGATTCTTAATGATATATATTTATATTAACATATTAATTTCTTTTAGAAATGTTAATTCATTAAAACCCACCATATTAAATCGTGTACTCGATATAATCATATCAGGTATGAATTGATTTTTTTGACGCATTTTATCAAACATTACTTAAGAACGTTGGTTATTTATGTTTTGTAGGTTTCCAAAGCGAATATACAAATACGTCAAATGATTTAGATTTCGATGATGAAGAAACTTATAGTGATCATCAAATTGCCTTGGAAATGTATGGATTTTTGCTGTTCTGGTTTATTACTAATGCAGAGCGTAAAGCAACATCTAAAAGTAATGCGAGTGGAGAAACAATTACATCAGGTGGAACAGCAAGTAAAAGAAAGACAAAGGTATAATGATAGTTTCATTCTGTTATTACGTATATTGTCATTGCGGAATCTTATTACTCTTCATTTAATAATTTATAGAGAACAAGACAGACCAGATCCAAAGTCTCTTCAAATAATAATGAAGATTGGGATTGGTCTACACAAAAGCAAGAAGCCTTAGATTTAATGATAAAAGTTTTGGAACCTAGAATCAAAAAAATTTGGGATTCAACTCATGAAATAGAAATCTTTGTTAGGTACATATCATTTTTTACTCAAAATTTTATGTGGATGATATCTGATCATTTAGATCTTTTTTGCAGTTTATTTACAAATTCTGCATATCGAATGTTGGAAAATATTACGACGATTAAAACTTCTTCCATAAAAACACGCGTTTATACTGTCCTTTCAATATGTGTCAAAGAATATAATCACGCATTTGGTAATATATAAATTTCAAATAAAATGAGAATAAAATGAAATAGATTTTATTAATTAATTTCGCTTTTAAATTCAATAGGTGCACAAACTACTATAATTCAGAATTTACAATATTATGAACATCTATCCGAACCTATGGCAGAATTTCTTCAAGTTCTTGTTCAGCAACATGATCATACACAATTAGTGGAAAGTACATTAATGTAGGTAAATTAATAGACGTATTTTAATAATCTAATTCATACTAACCTGTTAAAATTTTTAGAGAAATAAGCGATAAGGAATTTAATAGTCAAGATACTATTGGTCCAAAATCATTTTCGAAATTTCTTATTAAACTATCTGCCCTAGTTCCAAAAGTAGTGGTCAAACAAATTGTACTTCTTCGTAAACATCTAGAAAGTGACGTAAGTATCAAAATAAAATAGTCACGATTTTTTATTTTTTTATGAAAATTTACATTTTTTCTACTATACCTTTTTTAGTCTCATACTATGCGTTGTGGATTAATTGAAGTAATAGGAAACCTTATCATAGATTTAGCACAACAGGAAGAGAATGCACCAAATAATATGCATCAAGTTAATGGATTCTTTGACGTTCTTGACGAACGCTTTCTTGATCTTAGTTCTTATTGTCGTTTAAGAGTATTACAAGTATATTTCAGGATTTGTGAGTAAGTATTTATCCATTTGATACATGATATATATTTTTTTATTTAAGAATAAAATGTATTGTTAATTTTTTAAATTTAGTTTAAGTGTCAAATTCCCAAAACGACGGCAAAAGGTTGTGGACCTGGTTATTCGTTGTTTAGAAGATAAGGCTAGTATAGTCCGTAAAAATGCAATTAAGTTATTGACCAAATTTATTTCAACACATCCATATGGTATTATGCATGGAGGTGAATTATCTGCTAAAGAATGGGAAGAACGTTTAAGAAAAGTTGAAGTGGAATTGAAGGTAATAATTATTAGAGATTAAAACCCCCAATTCTTAATAATATCATTCGAATAATCTTAATCTTTAAATTTAACGTAAAAGGCAATCCAACCTCCTCAAGAACTTGCAGAAATTGGTGCTGAAGCTCTTGATGAAGTTGAAACTGCTGATGAAGATATCGAAATGACAGAAGTGGCAGTGGCTCCACATTTATCATCGTCCGATGAGCTTGAGAAATTGCAAATGACGAAACGTTATTATGCAGATGCTGTTCGATTCATACACCAAATTTATACGGCTATACCAACAATTTGCCAACTTCTTGCTTCTACCACAAAAACAGAAGTGATTGAGGCTATCGAATTCTTTGAAACGGCACAATTGTACAAAATTGAAGAGGCCAGTGAAGGGATTAAAAAGATGTTACACTTAATTTGGACAAAGGATAATAATGATGAGGGTAAAGGTATCAGAAAACGCCTGATCGAAGGTTATCGAAAATTATATATTGAACCAGACATTTCGCTATCAGAAAAAGAGAATGTGAATATAGTTACCAGAAATTTGATAAGGTAAATATATTTTAAGAAATTTACACAATTATGTCTTACATATATAATTAAAATATTTTGCGTTGTTATGAATATAGTTTAACATTTAATGCTACACTCGCCGAATTGACATCCCTTGAACAACTTTTAAGTACGATTATGAAAGAAGATGATGTTATAAGTGATTATGTTATTAATAAATTATGGTTAATTTATGGTAAGTATTGCGACGACTAATTTGAAATATCTCTATTATTAATCAATTAAATACTGACTTTATAATATATTTTTTAGCTTCGTCCACAAAAGATATTTCTAAAGAACAAAGATGTGGTGCAATCATCGTTTTAAGTATGCTTGCCAAAGCTAAGACGGAGATTGTACAGGAAAAGATCGATTTACTTCTCAAGGTTGGACTTGGACAATTTGGTAAAGTACGTACTCGATATGTGCTATATAAAAGCACCCTATATTGTATATTAATTCTCTTTTCTTTATTTCACGAATTTTAATTTGTAGGCAGACTTGGTTTTAGCAAAATATACCTGTATTGCCTTACAGCGTCTTTCCGGTGATCAAATCAAAGTTAAAGGTAAATGGAATAATAGCAAATTCACGTACCATGAAAAAACAAGTTCTTAATTCTTGTTTTGAAATAGGGTCCTTGGCCAATAATTCAAACCGGATATCAATATCTCATCAGATTTTTCATAAATTAAAGCAAATTATCGAATTACAGACCACCTCACAAGAATGGTATTTATTTATTAAATTATGAGACATATTTATCCTTTTTACGAAATGACATTGCATTGTATAATTTTATAGGTTTAGAGTAGCTGAGCAGGCAATAAATACAATATATTTACTCGGCGACCATCCGGATGTTTTATGTGGTGATATTATTAAACGAAAAGTTTCTTTAGTTTTTGATCTTAAAATTCCTTGTGCTGATGGTGATATGGAAATTGATGAAGGAGAGAACATTCTTACGAATCAAGAACCATTCATGACACATCCACTCCATTTAAGTCAACTTTTATTTATAGTTGGACATGTGGCTATTAAACAGATTGTTCATTTAGAAGTAATTGAAGCAGATTGGAAAAGGAAAAAAGGTACAAACAAATTGTGTAAAAATTTTTCTTTTTTTTAGAAAATACTTTGTTAATATTACTTGCATTAATATTTCTTACATGGACTGATAAAGAAAAGTCAGTCAAGAATACTACTGTTGAAGATGAATTAGATCAAGTAGTGGGAACTACCGAAGACGAGTTTGTAGAAGCAATAGCGCAAATTCGAGAAAAAGAACTATTATTCGGTCCAGATTCGTTGTTAACAGTATTCGGTCCTTTAATTGTAAATATATGTTCAAATAATAAGACTTATAATGTAAGTTCATAAAATTTTATATATTTTTTTAATTTATTTTTTACTAATATTAATAATCTGTGTATTATAATTTATTAGCATCGAAATTTACAAATTGCTGCAACACTTGCCTTAGCAAAATTAATGTGCGTGAGTTCAGAGTTTTGTGAAAATAACCTACAATTACTTTTCACAATTCTTGAAAGGTCAAATGAACCTACAATCCGTAGTAATATTATTATTGCTTTAGGTGACTTGACAGTGTGTTTTAATAGTTTAATTGATCAAAATATTAATTATTTGTATAAGCGCCTTGCGGATCCAGATAATATGGTCAAAAAAAATACATTAATGGTACTCACCCATTTAATCCTTAACGGAATGATTAAGGTTAAGGGGTATATGTGGGAGGTGGCTAAATGTTTGGAAGATAAAGAACGGAGGATTAGTGATCTTGCAAAATTATTTTTCACTGAACTCGCATCAAAAGACAATTCAGTATATAACAATTTACCTGATATAATTAGCAATTTTACTAGTGGGGAGAATCCAGTCAATGAAGAATCATTCAAGAAAATTATGAAATTTTTGTTCGATTTTATTGAAAAGGTTAATTTTCATAATGTTTTTTTCCTTTAAAAAAAAAATTGTTATTAATTATATCATGATTTATATTGATTCTATTCTAAATAGGATAAACAAACAGAAAGTTTGATTGAAAAGTTATTTCAAAGGTTTGATAATCTTCATGATAAAAGGCAATGGCGAGATATTGCTCAATGTCTGTCTTTACTACCCTACAAAAATGAAAAATCCCTCAAGAAGTTGACTGAATTAATCACACATTATCAAAATAAATTACAAGAAAATGATGTGTACAAATATTTTACGGATATTGTAGCAAAGGTTGGTTTTTTTTTTTTTTTTTTTTGATAGTATATTTTTTTTTTTTCAGTTGGCTTAAATGGTTTAATTTTTCTTTTAGGCCAAAGTCACATCGTAACTACTTACAGAAAAAATTATTAAGGTCTCTTGGAAGATACTTTAAATAAATATCTATGAAATGGTTAACATAGCCCCTGAATTTTTTTTCGCTTTACATTGTCTGCCATTCATATTTAATCTCTATTATGTGTCTATTATAGGAATAAATTTACGTTTATAAAACTCCATTAGATATTGTTTGGGTAATATCTAATGTTACACATATTATGAACCCAAAATTAATTCTTTGACCCAGACTTTTCATAAGTTATTATCACCATTAGTTATGTTATATTTTTGACCCATTGTTATCTTTAAATAAATAATACATATTATATTGTACACGCTTCGTTAGAATACAAATCGAGTTCCCATCATAAATAATTACCTTCTTCCATCCCTTCCTCTCGGACTATATCCTCTTGGCCCCCTTGGGATACCTAAACCTCTCGCATTTAATCCTCTTCCTCCTCGCATACCCCTCATATTCATGCCTCTTCCCCTGAAGCCAAAATCATCTCTAATTCTTCTTTCTCTCAAACCTACTTCACCATACGAAATTCTTTCTCTAATACCCCAATCTTCTCTAATTTCTCTCCTTCTAAATCTCCAGTCACCCCGCATACCTCCTCCTCTTCCTCTCAAACCAAATTCGTCTCTTAAACCTCTCCCTCTCGTACCATATTCTCTCCAACCCCATGAACCTCTTGCCCCTCTCATACCTCCTCTAAACATTCTTTCGTTATGTTCGGCAGGTCTCGTATATCTTTGATATCTTACGGTTCTTTCTCTACCGTAGGGTCTATAAGGTCTCATAGGTCTTAATGGTTCTTGAGAAGAAAATAAGTCGTAATTTTTTGGTTCCAACATTCCGTTTAATTATTACAAAAACTTTTTATATCTACTATCAGAAATGATAGATTTAATAAATATTTTTTTTAAAAGAGCATTTTTTTGACGGTTAAGAACCAATTTTATAGTTATTGTATTCCTCGAGTTACACTAAATTGCGAATGGTTTCAGTGTAACCTTTTTTTTGGTTAGTGTGTTCTTTGTTCTTTCAAAATAAAGTACCATGAAATAATCCATTAATTTTTATTATTTTGGAGGAAGGAATTTTTTAATGATGTTTAAACTATGAATATCTACAAGTTTTTGTGTGTTTTTTTTTTGTATGATTTATTTTATAGATGAAAACAATTTTAGGAACTAGTCAAGAATCCTCTACCACGTAATAACTGTTTCTCCCGAATCATCTCTAAAACATGAGACATACCTTTTCGACTCTATAACAAAGGTGATGGTATAAGGATTATTAAATGAATAGATAATTATTTATTCAAAAGATCTAATTTTGAATCATACCTTCGCAGTGCTATCAGCTAATTTCTTAATTCCAAAACCTTCAAGACGATCCGTCAATCCCCATCCTAAATTACTAATAATTCTGGCTTCAGTTTTAACTTGAGTAAATTCATGATTATTAGGATCGACTCGATAAGTTTGCCATTCTTCGACTTGCATTACTCGAGCGTGTGTTATATTTTTTGTGAGAGTAATCATTGTTTGAGTCTTAGGATTAACTATGGACTCTTCAATAATGTACGCTTCAGGGGTTTTCATGAGCTATGGTTAAAAAGTAATGAATGAATAATGTTAAGTCATAAACTAATTAAATCGTTCTTTTTCTTTCCCATGACTATCCTATTAAAATGTTCAAAAAGAAACTTACTCCCTTTCCCCACTTTGGCAACACGCCGCGTTTCAGTATTAGTCTTGTCGTTCTTAATACACCTGTATTTGGATCAACATATCTATCAATCACATCAACACTTTCGACGTGTGAAGTAAAAGGATTAGGGTAACGTAACCAAAAAGCTAACGTTACGCTATCCCAATTATATCTATAATTCACCGATAAAAACGAAATGTTAAAAATGTCTCTTTCGTTTTTCTTATATACATACTTCTTTAATTTCTTTAATATAGCGAAAAAAAAAAGAAAAAAAAAATACTCACTCATATTTGAACGTATGTTGAAAAAATTTGACCATTATGTAAATTTAGAATCCTAACGTATAAGGTATTATAAATTTTTTTTTCTTTATCACCAAAAGTAAAACAGTTTTTTTTTTAAAAAAAAAAAAGAAATTTCTAGAAAAAACCCATAATTAATTATTCAACAATATAAATAAAGTAATTATTTCGTAATAATATATTAACTGAGACCAAATGACGTTATTGAATAACTAAATTCGTCGGAAAGTGGTGAAAGATATGAAATTTAACAATCATTTAAGAAAAAACCAAAAAACCCAAAAACGAAGATATTTTTTTCATCGATCAACGAAAAAATTTTTTTTTTGTTGATAAGATAATGCTGTGCTATGGTAAAGCAAGATATAGAGATAATACTAGTGGTTAATATATTTTAAAATATTGATCGCCATTATACCAATTAATAATTTCTTATCAGATTTAAATTATAGTAAGAAAGGTTAAACAAACAATTTTAAAGTGGTTTAGTTCATTTGGAATTTATTAAATAATTTGGAAAATTGTTTGTTATAGATCTTATCATTTTATTTTTTTTGTAATGTAACAAAAAATGGTAAATCTGAACATATTTAGCCTGAAAATCATCAAATAAAATTGATTTATTTTATCTTTTCTATTGCAAAAGTCATATACTGTAATGTAAATTTTTTTTTTATATATACAGTATATACTTAAAATTAAAATTTTATATTTTAATCTATTTTTTTAATAACCTTTCGAAACATATTTTAATTAGGGTTGGAAAAGTCCTAAAAAGTCCTAATTGGTTCTGATTAATTTTAAAAAAATATTAGTTTTAAAGATTAATTTTTTTAAATATTATTATATATAATTTTTTAATTAATATTACTTATTAAAATAAAATAAAATTTCTTTTTAAAATTTAAAAAATCTTTAAAATATTAGATTTAAGATCTAGGTTCTAGGACTAGGTCCTAAATTATGTATATTTTTTTAAATTAATAAAAAATTTATTTAATATTGTAACCCAAATGATCTTCAAGAATTGAATAAAGTGATCTACAAATGATCATCATGTGGATTGATCTACAAAATCATGATCTGCAAAAATGATCTGCAGAATTAACCAGATCAGTTAATGAAGAAATGAAGTAATAGATCATTAGCCCATGATAACACACGTAACCTTCTAAACTAGAAATTCCAAATAGGAACTTCAAGGAGAAACTAGAGTAATAATTTAAGAATAATATACTGTAATTATATTTCCTACATCTCTTCAAATATATATATATATAATTATAGGACTATTACATAGTGATTAGGTAAACATTACTCAATTATTACAACAGAATTACATAGAGAAAGATGAGGAAATCATTACATAGTTTTTATGCAATAGATAGCAATTTAGTGTAGAAATTTCATTATAAATAAGCTGAGTTTTTCATCATGTATCGTTAGAAATTTAGAAAGAAATTTAAAAAGAAGAACTTAAGAAATTTGAAAGATAATTTATAAGTTAATAAAAATCTTTGCTAAATGTCTTGGCAAATCAATCACCTGTATCAAATATATTTTTGTGTCAAAATACTTTGTGTCAACCGTGTTTAATAATATTATTGATGTATTTGTGTCAATAAATCTCTTAAATGTTAAACATCTGCTTTGTGTTAATAACTGTGTTTAAGAGTCACTAACAAGTTAAAGTGTTTAATATTATAAATACTTTAAGCTGAGCATTATCAACCTGGTTATAATAAGTGTATTATAATGTCAATAAGATAATTTCTCTACCATCTTAGAAAATTACAAGTCATTGTAGTGAATTGGAAGTTTTCATATTTACTAATTTAGAAACTTAATCGTGAAAGTACACTGACGTCAAGTGAAGTTTAAGTTAATTAAAGTCTCTCCCAATTCATCATAAAGATTGAGCTAAATTTTGCTGCTACTCAATTGATTATGTTGTTATTACTCAACTAATGATTAAGCGGACTGAAACACATAATCAATTGAGTAGCAGCAAGATTTAGCTCAATTTTAATGAAATTTTGAAAGAGACTTTGGTTAATTCAGGCTATTATTAACTTCAGTATTCTTTCACAATTAAGTTTTAGATAGACAAGTATGATGACTTCCAATTTATCCCGTAAAAGTAATTTCCTCTAATGTAGAAGATTCTCAGTTAATGTTATAAAGTTTATTTGTAACTGAGTTAATTGCACAAAATGAGTTGATAATGTTTAAGTAATTTAAAGATTAGTTAAACCTGGATGATACAAAGTATAATTGATAATGTTAAGTAATTTATGATTACTCAACTAAGGTTAACACAAAGCAGGTTGATAATGTTAAATAATCCAATATTACTTAATCAAGGTTGATATAAAGCAGATTAATAACATTAAGTAATCTAATATTATTTAACCAAGGTTGATACAAAGCAGGTTAATAACATTAAGTAATCCAATATTACTTAACCATTGTTGACATTAAGCAATTTTTATTTGTTACAAGACAATTTAGTAAAGAGTTTTTATTATCTTATAAAATTAACTTCCTAAATTTCTCTCGATACATGATGAAAAACTCAGCTTATTTATAATAAAATTTCTATACTAAATTGCTATTATTGCATAAAACTATGTAATTATTTCCTCATCTTTCTTTATGTAATTCTGTTGTAATAATTGAGTAATGACTACCTAATGCTATGCAATAGTCCTATAACTATAATATATATATTTGAAGAGATGTAGAGAATATAATTACATTGTTTTTAAATTATTACTACATCTTTATACTTAGCCTTTGGCTAGTTTCTTCTTGAAGTTCCTATTTGAAGTTTCTAGTTTAAAAGGTTACACATGTTGTTATGGGCTAATGATCTATTACTTTATTTTTTATTAACTGATCTGGTTAATTTTGCAGATCACTTTTTGCATATCATTGTGTTATTGATTTTGTAGATCAATCTACATAATGACATTTTTCAATTCTTGAAGATCATTTGGTGTTTCAATCCACCTAATCAATAGTTGGGTAAAATATAATAATTAAAAAGATAAATTTATTATTAAAAAATTTAATTAATAATATTTAAATTATAATTATCTTTAAATTTATAAAGACAATTATAATTTTTTAGGATTTTACCAACTCTAATTTTAATGTGTAATTTAAAAATTTAGGAAACCTTTAAAATAACTTTTTCTTAACTTCAGTTAGGTAAAAAATATTTATTAATAACAAATTTATAAAAGTTCTTATATAGATATAACAGATATAACTTTATTTATTAAAACAATTTTTATATTTCAAATTAATTATATAATTCAAAATTTTAAGATACAGTCAGACCTGTCTATAATCACCCTGTTTATAATCACATCCTGTCTATAATCACTTAATTTTAATGTCCCAAA